GTTTCTCGAAAACAGTAGGGGTGTAACCCCAGCATTCTGGCCAAATTTCCCCACTGGCCTTTACCAATCTTGGCCTCCTAATAATCCCCATCTATGAGTTGGCTTCATCACTCTGTTCTCCTCCCCACTGATAGCTGATGTGTGGGGAGTGTACTGGCGCATCATCCAGGTGGGGCTGGACGTTGGTCACCATTACCTGTGAAACTCATTGTGTGGAGAGAAAAGCACTATGTACTGTAAATGTAAGGAATTCATTATTATAAGACAGAGACCCACAGCTTTAATTGGAAGCAGATGCACCCAGGAGCTGAACTCCGGGAGGGCTACCAATTCTGCAGGTTCTCCAGAAATGCATCTTTATGTTAATGATGCCCGATCCTGTATTTCTATTGGGATTGATTGCTTTTGCCATAGACATCCTATTTGCTGTTAGCAGTCAGGCTATGATCAGCTGTTTCCTGTTAAAGGTCATTACTCTGTTATTGACTTGATTGTTTATCAACCAGATAACACTGTTAACACTGATCAGACCCGGCAGAAAGTTTTGTTTGATTTTCATAGTAAATCAAAAATTAACATTCAAGAAATGCCAAGTTCACTGACATTCTTAATTTAATTAAAATGTATACAGTATGATTTGTTATCAAAGAAGTAAACACTAGACATTCATATACAGTATGCAGCATTATCAAGACATCTTAAACAGATACAAGCTCTGCATTTTTTTCTATTCAATTTAACAGGGGTAATTCAAAATCAGGTTGTTTGAATATTCCAAACAGTATAACAGCAGCAGAAAATTACTATTTTAATTTTTGTGGCATTAGATACAGTTCTTAACATCATCATAATGAATTCTATACATAGGGATCTTTTGAATCATACTTTTATTACAGATACTGTATATGTTAGCCTTATCTACTAGTATTACTGATATTTTTAAGAAATGAACAATTGAAAAAAATGGGTAACTTACATTATTCTGTCATTTTTTACTGTAGATTAATTTGGATCAAAAATCCCCAAAGGTAAAAATCTAAAATCTAAGTAGAGTCAAAGCTTTTCAGGATGGCAAATAAATGAATGATGGCATAATTATTTATCTGTTTAGAAACATAACTAATCACAGCCTACTTATAACCCAACATCTCTTTGGGGAAAGATATCTCACTGATTGTGTTTTGCTGTGCTGGAGACATACCTGACACATAAAATGCAATAGCTTTTTCCCCACCATTTCTTTACCTGTGGATGGGATAACCCTTGAACACCCAGTGTTAATCAGTGAGACCTTTGGATTGGTCTCCTGATGATTTGAACTCAAAATGACACCGCTGGGGGCTCAGAGTTTACACCGCTATCACAGAACGTTGAAACGTTCAGTGGTTTTATTATCCATGTTTAAACCTTCATCGTGTTTTAAGTAGTTTTCTTTTGGTGCCTGTGAAAAACTAATTTTTACATCCGCTCAAAAGATAGAAAACACAAATTGAAATACATGAGCCAACAACTATAACTGACCAGTCGTTGTTACATTTTAAAATGTTCTACTGCAGGGGAAATGAAGATTTGACAATTATCTGAAAATGAAGATAATGAAAATAATTGTTTTTGAAGAATAGGGGTATTTTGAACAATTCATTTAATGAAGGCAGGTGGTGTTAATATAGTAAGAAAACCAATAGTATAGTTGTGGTAATACAGGCAATACGAAGCCAAGATAAGACAATTGTATTGATACAATCAAGAAGGAAACAGTAACTTAGTATTTGTATGAAAAGGTGTAAGACTTCTAAAATGATAAAGTGACCAACGATGATTTAAAGTCATATTTGTCAAAACAATATTGCTTGTCTACAATCATAACTGCTCAATCAATATTCTATTCCTGTTCTCTGCCAGAGTACAATCGGAACCTTCCTTTTGAAGCAATCGAGTTCCCAACAGGCTCATCCTATAGTGTGTCAAGACAAGCACAGCTAGCACACTGATTTCTAAACATCTTATTGTGCAACGGCACATTACTTTTCTAGGAGCATGTACAGAGTTAAAGTTAAACACTCTGCTAATTTGCCGTCTTAAGTTATTATAAAAGTCATCATAAAATAAACTCTGGTGTTGTGCAACAAAATGTCATTTTATGAATTGCACGCTTAAAGTAATAGATAATAGTGCCATCAAGTTCATTTGCGCGTTGATTTGATGGTTATGCAAAGTAACCAGTATCAGCTCTTTTCTTTCTCCTACTCCTACTTTACACTAGCTCAGGGCTTGGCATAGTTAATAAAAACACTAAAAATGCAGCAGGCAACATTACATCAAAATACTGAAGGCCAGATTTCCCCTATTGGACCCAATAGCACTTGCTTCACTTTTGATGTCTCTCAGTTTAGAGAAATCTGCGAGCAGTGAACTTAGGAAAGAGCCCTTCTTTCTCACCTCATTATAATTATGCAGCATAGGCTTCCCTAGGCAGTGGTCAGAGTTCAGCATTAGTGTAAGCCCTGTGCTTAGCAACCAGCTGCATAGTTACAGGTGATTACAGCACAGGAATTAGGTTGTGCTTACAAGTAGCAGGGAAAAAGCCCATTCCTGTTTCATTTTCGTCCCTCATGTGCAAGAAGGAGACTGGCCAACAGGAGCCCCTTTTCATTCAATAAGCCAATCAATGCATTAGGCATCATTGGTCCAGGAACAGTTGAGAATGGCCCAGAAATTATCAGAAATGACTATGCCGTGTGTCTGAATCCTGTCTCGATCCAAAGCTACGGTGAAAACTAAAAATGAACAAAATGTTATCCAATATATAAAATTCAGTGTAAAAACTAGAAACTAGGCAACATTTAAATAATTAACTTACTGAAAAGAAGTGTTTACTGTTGGAAACTCAATTATAGAATTCCAGAATAGCCAGGGATATGAAATAGCTATGTAATAGCTTTGGAGTGCAGCAAGAGAAGGCCCTGTTACCCATAGAAAGGAAAAGAGGTTCAGGCACATATACAGTAGAAGACCAGAGCCAGAGGAATGGAAGCTGTGAGGTAACGAGTAGATAAGTCAGACAGATACTGAGGTGCCAAGCCATGTCTCAGGCCTTTAGTCGACCTGAAACCTGGAGGGCAGCCAGTGCAGGGACTCCAGGATAAGAGTAGTGTGATTGCTTCCAAGCAGCCTGATCTGGGCTCTGGCAGCCGAATTCTGAACATGTTGCAGTTTCTTCAGTTTGGATTTACAGTACACACCCCAGTGAGCAGGATACCCCCCACATGATCTCCGTCTTGTCGCAGTTTAAGGGAAGCAAATTTTGAGTCAACCAGGATGTTTCTCAGAGTTCCAATCCATCTATTTTCAGTACCTGTTTACTCCAATACAGTCCATTTAGCAAATGGGAGAAGTGGGCCACATGGCCTCTTTTCATGTTCTTCTTATGTTCTTACAGGGTGTAGGGAGCCAGAACCTATACCAGCCCATCTCGGCACACACACGCAGGTCAGTAAGTCTGTAGCCTGTGGGAGGAAACAGGAAGGCCTGAAGAAGACCCATGCAGTTCACTGAGCCGAAATCAACTCTAGGACCGAAGAACTATGAGGCACACAGCATTTACTGCCACTCAATATTAAAAATATTAAAAGAAAAGATTTTTCTCCATCATCTGACTAAGATAAAGGATGCCATTAGTTTTTATCGTTTCCATATATATTGCAGTCCCAACTCTTCTATGAAGAATATCAATGTCAGCAGTCACACCTTGATGCAATTACATTTTGAAGAACTGTTTAAAATAATAGGGGTATTCACATAGGGAAGAGGTCTGAAAGGCTCTGGTCTCCAGTTTCTCACCCTTCTGGGGCACAGGCCGAATGTGTTTCCCATTCCAGACTCAAAAGAGCAAGTCGACCTGATCCTTTCAAACAACCGGTTGTGTGCTCTTCAATAAGGTCAGTGCATTTCAACACAGTGATCACGAGAAGTCCTCTCCTATCAATGTGGCACACAGTTTTTTTTTTCTTAGCAACATTTGAAAAAAATATCCCTAATTCCCGGAGGGGCCTTTCGCACTGAGGGGAGTCAGAACGGCGCAATATTATTTTCAGATATCAAGAGCACAGCAGTACCTCTGGAATGTAATATTCCGTAGAGAGTTTTCCTAATGAGGATACAGCCTGGAAATCCGATATACAGTACCGCGGGTGAACAGAAATACCGAGGGGGCTACACAGAAATAGCGGTAAGTAACTGTATGTTAAAGCTGTTAAGGAGAAAGCACCTGAAGGCATTGTATTTGCTTTCCGTGAAGCTGGACATTTCTGGGATACAGAATACAGCCTTTAGAAACGACCCCGACCCCTTGACAGCGATTTAATTTTCCATTGGTGATCGTTTTCACATTGCCGATGGTAGGAGACTTGTATTCTGGAGCATATCTTTTCACAGACATTATCGCGTGAAAAACGCAGCAATACAAAGACAACTGATTACATTTTAACTACACTGAATTGATGATGCTGGGTTTTTTTTTTACCTTCACTATAAGCAAATTGCCTTTTTAGAAAGGCAACAAAGTGCCCGCACTCTGATTACAGTAATCGATAATGTAATGGTTTTAAGATGCATCACACCCGCTCATTTCCATAATGGTAGGGAGCTGGCGCTTGGGCTTTCCAGTTTAGGTCTATGATAACACTTGAGGCTGCAGCCTCGCCATTTTCAAGCCGGCAGAAATGCCTTGTGTCTGGCTACAGCTCACGATGCGCAGACTTTGTAATGTCAAAACCAGCCCCCTCCCCGCCTCACTCACTTTCGCCCAGTTACATCGCTCCCCGGCTCCGGCAAGATGTGGTGCGATTTCCTGCTTATTGTTGTGGGAAGGGGGCCGGCGGAGAAGGCGGGCGTGATTGGCTGTGGACCTTTGTCGGTCATTTCGCTCTTTCATCCCCTGCTTCTGCTGTCTTTTTGAACCCGGTTGAATGACGTCCCTGTCAGCGCTGGGTTTGTAGCTGCCGCCTAAGTAGAGACAGAGAAGAGATACCCTGGACAGCGCAACTCCTGTCTGAACTACCCGCCCGCAGCTGCCTGCTGTAATATCGGCACTCCCAAATTCACACTGCATAAATATGGTGAGTGTCACTATCAGTTTTATTCTGGCCATGTGTGAATAGCCCTTCTTAATGTTCTGATGTTAAAATGGTTTCTGGTGAAGGCGCTGTCATTCATTCATTTAAGATTTATGTGCAGCCGGTTTCGTTTTTTGCAAGTGTGCCTTTAGGGACGCACGATCTTAACCTGCTCAAGGCAGTAGGATAACAATTTTTGTGTCTGTTTCGCTGTTGAGACAAAAAGCTCTGCACCGCGTTTCATTTTTGAAGTGGTCTTGAAGATCAGCATAGACACATCTTTTCGAAAAAGCTCACATCCTTTTGGAACAATTAAATATGGTGCCGTAATAAAAACTAGACTAGTCGACTTGAGGCATGAAGTTCTTCAATGAAGGAGGTTGTAACAATGAAGGCATGCACTTCAGAGTACAGGAGCTACAGAAGCCTTTAACGCGTCCCAAACTCGAAACATACTGTAAAGCCGTATCCTCCAGTCCCCAAGAGAGGGTCTAACTTTGTGTGCGCGGATGTTGTTTTTTCTTTCTTTCTGCAAACCAAATCTGAACTAATGCATAGTAAAATCGCCAATGATAGAGATATCGCGTAACCTCTTCTGGAAAAAGAAAGTACGAGCTTTAACCCTCTTGTTAAAAACTGAGATAATCCCTATAAAGCGTGTACATTGTGCAGAAATCTAACATAAGCTTGTATTGTGCTCTTTTCACATTGCTCTTCTGTTCGATGTACAAATTCTATTCTATGAGGATCTTCAACCAATTTACAGTATTTTAACAGTTGCTCCTGATCTATAGTTTAGACTGCAAATGTAGTCTTTTGCTTTACGGATATTTGGACAGGAACATCTTACAAGTATCAGATGTCTCAGATTTTTGACGGGTCGTGTATGCTTTGCCTTGTGGTATTGGGTTCGAGTCCTGGAGATTTCTGATCGTTGTGAAATGAAGATTGCTAAATGACAAGTGTGGTTTAACAGGCAAAACATGTTATAGTAGTCGAAAACAGTAGTGCAGTCTGATTAAATAATTTATATCATTGACTGTATAAAGAATCCAGTATATTCATTCATTACATTAAAGATGTCTAAGACGTTTGCGAAGTAATGTAAATGCGGGAACACTTATCAGTAAAGGGGTGCCAAATATGTAGTGCTTGTGTAAATGCGAAAAAAAAAGTGTTTTATTGCCGTCTTTCGGATGAGACGTTGAACCGAGGTCCTGACTCTCAGTGGTCATTAAAGATCCCCGGTGCATTTCCCGAGAAGAGTAGGGAGATATCGCGTTTTCCGGGGCAAATTTCCCCCCTCGCTCTTTACCGTGGCCTCCAGATTGTCCCCATGTATGATTGGCTTGCACTTGCCCTGCGATGGACTGGTGTCCCGTCCAGGGTGTACCCTGCCTTGCGCTCGTTGCTTGCCGGTTAGGCTCCGGCTTCCCGCGAACCAGTACAGGATAAAGCGATTCGGCAAATGACATGACATGACATTTTCTTAGTGATACAAACACTAGTTCATCCCATATATGACCTAAATGGAATGTATTTATACAATTATAAACTATACTAAATATAATAAAAATAAAAATATATGAAATCATCATAATATAAAAATATCTTGTCATAAAGCATGTGGTTATTTAAAAACTACGGCAGTCCTCATTTCAGTAATATTACGGCGATCTGAATTCTGCGTGTAAAAGTGTTGGGAGACGCTTGGTTTAGCTTCTGTGTTCACATTCACCTCACCCCTCAAACATCTGACCCAGAGTCACACTGTGGAGCTACGACCCAGATGATTTGCATGAATTTGTGCTCATTTACTTATCTTTACACAGCTGAGACCTACCCCTGAAAGCATCACTGTAAATGCCAGTAGTCCCCATCACACCTGGTCCTTGTTTTGCAATGAATTGAAACTGGGAAGAAGTGCTTTTTTTTCATAATCAGATGGACCTCAGACTTCACAGAAATCCTGGGACTAGACATCAGTGTCTGTCTGGCAGTTAGGAATGAGACAAAGAAGTCCCTGGTCTTGAAATCAGGCTGGTCACTAGACGAGCAAGACATTCTGTGCTTTCTCTTTCCTCTTTTATTGATAGACAGTACTGCCCATATTTAATTTTTAGTGTTAGATAACACTGAAAACCAACACATTGTTAGTCCCTTATTACTTATGTAACCAGCTAATGTCTGTTTGACAGATTTGCAGGTTTGTTTGAGCACAGGAGTTGGTCAGTGAACTAGATTCAGTGTTTCTCAAAACATCTGGGGAGGTTATGAGGTGATCCTAGAGTGTTTGGAAGATAACTCTTTAATTTACCCAAGAGTTTCAGTTGAAATGTTTGTCGCCAAGGTTTATGTAACGTGGTTGCCATTCGTGTATAAAAAAACATCTCTGAACTCATGTTAGATAAACCTGCACATCTACAAACTCAGAACTTGTGCACCGTAAAAATGCTCAAGACATGTCAGTTCCTTGAGTGTTGGTCCTGAATCTGTGGTTCTTTGTGTTTCAGTGCAGTGCACCATACAGTAATACTTGTTTACACAATCCTTGTACTGCAGTGTGGAGATGTACAGTGGAGCAGGTTTATTTCTGGAATATTTGTAGTCGCACATACATGTCTTTTTTAAAGATCACCCAAAGCTGTTGTCCCTCTAGTGTTTATGAATATGTTTCCCTACCTTAGGCTCAGTCATAGGAACACAGATCAGGGTGCTCCTTAGCAACCAAGCCACAGGAGAATAACACTCACATAGAATATCATAAAATAAGAACCGAGTGTCTAAGGAACACCTAAAATTAAAACAAAATAAAAACCTTTTCTGATGTAGTGAAACAGCAAACAAGCGCTACTAAACCTATTAACTGTGCACCTAAGTAAGGCTTCAGTTCAAGCTGGTGTGATGAGAGAATTTACAGGTACTGCTTATGCTTTGAAGTAAAACTTGTTTCAGGCATTTTTTTATTAAAACCTGATAAATATATTTAGGTGTGTTCATCAACATGCACATTTAAATAACTTCAGAATGGACAGTTAAACTGGGGAGAAAAATATAACCTCGGTATAGCATATAAAGGTATATTATTTCAGCATTGTTGTGAACCACAAAAGATACTAAACATGTTCAGAAGTACTTATCATCTGAATGTTGTGTTTTCATGCATGTTCACTAGTTTCAAAATGACAAAATAATAGTAAAATAAACTCTCATTTTAATGGACTTCAGATTTACAGTAACGGACAAAATTGGCTAAAGGGGAATTCTGTGGAATAAAAAATAGCAGACTTTCTCCATGATAACTGTTCCAATTGAACCAGGAACCAGTTGATTGGATTGTTAAGACCTGAGCTGGAAGGAAAACCTTCAGACACATAATATTTTTGAAGTCCTTTGGCTTTAAAAATGAGATTGCTTGAACATCAGTCTTGGGAAAGTTTATTAACCCAGCTCAGGGTTAGAGATAACAGATATAAGAATAATGTTTGGGATTGTAATATGTCACAACCAATGTAGAAATGTGTGTGAATTTGTCTACATGGAAGAAATGTACATTTTCTTAAAAGTATTATTTCTCAATCACCAAATGTTGCACACACCTTAGTTTTTGCAAAGATTGAAAAACATTTAAAGACAGAAGGAAGAGGCAGAGATGTACTGTACAGCATGTGCTGTCCAGAACTGCATTAAAAATCAAACCAGAGCCTCATTCATAAAAGCCTCTGGTGCAGTTAGAAATATCCACATCAGCAAGGATGGGAACATACAGTACTGCAATGAAACGGCACAATTGTAAACCTTGATTAAAAGTGACTGAAAGCCTTATGCATAAGTGCAAATGATGCATAAAGCATTCAGTCGCTTTCAGTATCAATTTCCCTTCGGGATCAATAAAGTCTCATCTATCTATCTTACATGTCTGAAATTTAGAAGATGATTAATTGTACACAAGCTGAGGGTTCTCAATGTCTGCCCATGCAGATTGAAAAGGGAAGGGTGCCATTTTCACAGGAGAGAGGACTAACGGACACCAGCAGATGGAGTTTTCAAGCCAGGCTTAAAATATCAGAGCAGAAATGCTTACCTCAAACACGGCACTGGCTCTAATGTGGCCAACTTCTTACATTCTGTTTTCTGTGTCTGCTATTAACAGATTTCTGATTTTTTGCAATGTCAATTTGACCTCCAATTATTTCCACATGGCATGTCTCCTACATGGTCTCTATAGCCGCCCTGTGCTTTGCAGTCAGTGGCATCTGTGTATGGGATCATAACAATTTGAAGAACGTATATTGAGTAATACCATCTGATAGGAGATGTCAGGAAATGTCTGTTCATTAGATCTGTGCTTAAATTACATGCATCTGTAAATTAGATGTGTGACGCTGTGCTAATGATGTGCTGATTAATGTCTTCCTTTGCACGCAACTACATTACTGGCATTTATCTCTGTGAGTGCACACCTACTCATTGTTACAGACATCTCAGTTACTGCTTATAAGTGGGAGGGCTACACTACCATCTTGCACAAGAATCAGGGGAAGTCTGCCCCAGCCTTGTCTTGATGGGTCTGCTGTAATTATCACTGCCAGGGTAATGAATAATGATGCTAATTGCTTGCAAGGGTGCGGTGCTTTTCATCTCAAAGGATTTCAAAGCGCTTCCTATAAGAGAGAGAGGGGAGCCGCCTCACCCACGAGTGAAGTGCAGCGCTGAGTGTGGAGATGTCTGGCTCTCATTATGTTCCCTCAGCGCCACCACAGAGCAGATCAGGCGGCATCCCAGCCTTCCTACAGCTCGCTTTGATGCAGCATCAGCTCCTCACCGCCCCAATGTGTATAGGGCATGGACAGTCAGCTATGCATCGCCCCAGAGTATTGTCTCTACCTGAGTAACTGCTTCTGGGTGCTCCAGGGGCTCATCTGCCTGACCCCTGGAGGCTGTGTGCAGGAGCTGCCTTGGTGTCTGCCTCTGGAGAGCACTGTTTGTCTCTGGGCCAGCATTGCCATATGCCTGCCTCAGGAAATCTCATCACATCACACAGACGGCTGCATTTTACTTTCAAGGCGGCCTGACCGTAAGACTTGTCAATATTTGTCATAGTTCTAGAGACCTGGAAACCTGGCCTCTCATCTTTAAGTGAAAGGCAGCAGTTTTAAATATAGCGGGCTTGATAGGCGCTCCGCTCTGCTGCTGCAGTGCTGTGCTGTATAGTGTATGAATGTTCTCAGAGACAGGGGAGGTGTTCAGAGGGACTTGCTTCTTAATGGATTATTATGATCAGATTTGGATCCAGCTTTATTCAGTAGCTGAAGGTAATTGGCTTGCTTTTCAAACTATGGCATTAGAACTGTAAATGGATATTGTATCTGTTGTTTGTTCAAACTCACCGGATCACTAGTATTATTTTTCCAGAAGTTTACCAGGTGCGTGAGCCATCTGATACAAGTTATCAAGTTTCTGCTCGAAGTTACATGAGTGACCAAAAGTAGAGGGCACAACCACACACAGGAGCGTTGAATTCTTAACCGCAATACCAAATCATACATTTGCGAATGGCATGTTGTAGAAAAATGAAATCCAGCTATTTGAAACAAATCACATACAGTATTATACTAAATTACATTTGGACTATCTCTGTACAAATCCATGGAGTAAAAGTGCTTATTTCTTAATTTCTTATGTTCTTTGTCATTAAAAAGGAACACTGCCATTATCGTTGTGCTGTAAAAGGGGATTTATCATTATGATGTTATTGATTAATATGCAGTTTAGGGGTAAACGTGAAATATATGTAAAACTAACACAATTTTCATTAATTGTAGCCCTGACAGTAGGTGGAATTCATTCTGACCTGTCACAAGGAGATGAAAATCCTGATACACTACTTGAATGCTCTGTGTAGGGTTCGTGGTCTTACAGGGCTTTATTGGCATGTGCTAAGAGCCAGACTTTGTCACTGACTGCAGTCTGAAAGACCCTGGTTCTCTCGGTGATTGGTATTGAGAAAAAGAGGCAGTTTTTACAGGGAGAATTGTAGGAGCCATGTTGTTAAAGCTAATAGCTTGTCTCATTTCAATGAACAGCTGGATGGAGTTCTTGGATTAATTAGTTACTGAAAAACAAAACTGCATAAGTAGGCCTAATGACCCCCCTCTTGTATCTAATCATTCTTCTGTATTCTGGTTTCAAACCACTTTTGCCTGATGTGTCACCTGAAGTGAATTTAGAAAGATGAAAAAGTAGAAATGATCCCTACTTAAGTCTAGTGAGGCAGTTTGGTGCTTTATAAAGTTTATAAAATGTCTTGGAAGTAATTAGGCTTTTAAAGAGCAAAGAAATGCACGGGACAGTTTGTGTATTCCATTTGTATCACAATAGTAGAAAAAATGAATAGAAAGAATCTGAGATAGTGCAGATAGAGCTATCAGAATGATCTTAAGTCTTTTTTCTACACGGTCCAACAGAACAATATTAGAATCACAGTATCCGTCTGTGGTAATTGTGAAACGTGATATCTTTTCTCTGGAACAAGATGGGGTTCCTGGGTTTAGCTTAGTGCTTGCTGTTCACTTACAGAATGCTCTTTGTGTTAAAGAATACAATTTTCACTGTCAGGTCATCAATCCAATGACGAAGTTCCTGAGAACAGTGATGAACAACATTCTCCATGTTGCATCCCTTTATCCGTGTAAAAAGCTCTGGAGCAGAACTGTATACTACTGCAGTCTTTGCAAGAGGCGCTGTTCTGAAATTTCAGAACCCAGCTTCTTTCAAATTGCCCTTCTAACTTTCCTGTTCATTTGTTACAGTACACCACAGTGAGCTTTCATCAATAATCATTGCTAAGAGTCTCTACTGTTGTTACTCCTGTCTTGAATGGATTGTTTTTTTCATGGCAAACATGTCTTAGTCTCAATACTTTATCTTGCTAATCTTAAAAGGAAGTTATTCTTACCTTCTTATATTTTTATAAATAAAAATATATATTTTTTTCCCACTCTTGTAAGTGAGGAGGCACTTTTGAAGTTTGAACAATGACACTCATTTGAAGAAATAAAAATGGCACAATCTTTTGTACTTGGCAGTAAAAGGGTAAAGTATGCAAAGTAAGCATATCAAACTGGCCGAATTTATCACCTCTCATTTGTAACCTTTCTTAATTTCTTAGAAATTAAAACATAATTAGCACAATCAGGAACAGCACAATGAGGCTGGTTGTTATCCCTATGGCTGTTAAAGTGGCAAATATCTGTAGATTGGTAGATCATTTTCTGAAAGAGAAGAAGCATATTTCGTAATATAACTTGAGAGTGTCAGCAGTGTGAAGTCAATGATATCAATGAAGGTCACATTGTGATGACTGATGGCTGACATATGGTTTTCTTACTGTTTCATATGTGATGAGAAGAGGCTGTGAGGTCAGTTTAACAGCCCCCTATGTCTCCTGCAATTCACAGTCTGCTGGTATTTGCCTTACACAGAGATTAGGATCACAGAAGAAGTCCAGTTTTGCCACAGCTTTAAATACGTGCTTTATGATTGTTCATAAGATAAAGATAATAGGTCATCATTATTTATATTTTACTGCTTTTACCTTTTATTTACTTGCCGGATAGTTTTCATAATCTAATAATACTGCACCGCCATAATACTGTGATGCAGTACTAGTTACTGTATAAGTCAAATTGAAGATCCCAAGAGCAACTACAGTACTTTTTTGGTGGTTTGCTACTCATGATGAGCACTCACTAGCTGAAAATATTCATCTTTACATTTTATTCATCATTCGTTTCTTTCTTTCAATGCTTCGTTTTCTGTGCCACAGTGGTGTAAATGTCTTGGCCAGATTATCATATGAAAAGATAATGTACTTCGCAATTGATATGTTTTAAAATGGTTAAATGAATAATTCTTGTTTGCATGTACTGTATACTATGAAGGAAAGAGGAAGGTGTCTTAATATAAACATGATATTTTACAGACAGATGGGTTTTACTGATGCTTTTGGCCTTGATGAAAAAAAGAACTACCATGAAAGCTTTTTCATTCTATTTTTTGTTCAATGAAGATTGGACAGTTTTCTAATTACATATGGGATTTGTTTCTTGTATTTTATTTTTAGGACCAACTAGAGGCCTTTGACAAACAGTTAAACGATTTTGTGGATTATTTATTTGGACCAAGAGGTGAGTATGCCCTTTGAGATTCACATGGTTCTTCATTTAATTTTTGAATTACTGTATTTCTGTGACTTTTAACAGCCTGAGATAAATATTCATCACAATGGCTAAATGAAATAAGTGTGTAAATCTGTGAAAATTCAGTAGATAATAATTTGAAGAATCCCATTTATTTCAGAGCAGACGAATGAATAGCTTTAGGTATTAAGGCAGCAGTGTAGTTTCAGGGCTCTGAACTGTTGATGTGTTGCTGCAGGTTGTGCGACGATACTGCACATTGTGCGACGACATTACAGCGGTACCTTTGTACTGTTGTGCCCTTGCACAAGCTACACCACCACGTGCACATTGCTCCAGTAACATGCCCAGCTGTATAAATGAGTGCAAAAGTAAGTTGATTTGGGTAGAAACATCAGCCAATTCATTAATAATAACAGGCAGGTCTCCAAACAATCCATCGTGTGGGTCGAACACAGCTTTAATAAGCAGCAGTGTTTTCATGAATATTTCAGAGAATCTTCGAGATATTGACTTGACAATTTATAGCATCCGTTCTTGTCATTTCTGCATACAACCTCGCTAGCTTTGTGCAGCTCAAATGTAAGATACAGTATTTGTTTTCCTGTAGACTGAGGATCCCGGTTCCCTGTTTTATGAACAACAGGAATGCTGCTGCTTGGGGCAGTTAGAGTGAATGAATATCCTCTTCTTTTTATTTTTGAAAGAATATGACTTTTGAAAATGTGAAATTCATCGTACTGGGACTACAGAGCAGACAGGGTAATGCAAAATCATTGCTGCGTTGTCTTAAGAGGAGCCGAGAAAGGCCAGTTCTCACTTTAACCGGGTGAGTGACTTAACTTCCCACTGAAAGGCCTGCAAGTTGCTGACCCCACAATAGGAAAAACACTCAAGAGATGCATGCAGGTAATTAACACGGAAATGATCAAGGAAAATGATCAAACCTTCTGAATTCTTTCAGAACACTGCTCATGCTGGATTGTAGTATAATTTATTTCTAGTGAATGGGTTTACATAGATCTTCTGGCTTAGACAGGTGAAGGGTAGCTCACATACTGTACAATATCTTCATGGGACACGTCCTGTGACTGGCCTTCATGTGGTAGGAAAATACTTCAAAGAAATTCCAATGCCAAATTACAGCTTAAGCCTCAAGCAAATTCCCAATTAAAATATGAAAGCCCAGGCGATTATTCCATAACCAGAAAATATGTATCGGTGTCATGCTCACTCATTAGTGTAAGATGTGCACAGATAACATACATATCCACAAGACTAGACTTATACATGAAGAACAAGAGGCTAGAAAACAACTCAAAACCCCATCTGAAAAACAAATCTGAAAAGAAAATAAGAAAGTGGATTTATTTTCCTTTTTTTTAATGGATGTTAACATGACTCTTACTGCTAGGGACAGACATGTGGTAGATGGGCACTGAGCACTAACGTAAGCACGTCTGTCCCTCACTTACACCGTACTGGAATTAATGATGGAAGCAAAGTAAAAATATGAATGTGTTAAACAAATTGTGCATTTTAAATGAATAGGTTTTGCGTAAAAATGAAATGCTACCTAATGCAGAATTTATTGATTTTCTACAGGGTCATTGGTTGTCAGGCAATAAGAAAGTGTCACAGCCCCTCAAGGCTTATGTAGGATATGTGAGTATAGGTGGTGATACCACTGTAGGGTATGTTTAGCATGTGGAGAGCACTATGTCAAAGACTAAGGCTTTAAGACTCTTTGCTTCATTCTTCAGATTTTGTTTTTTTTTTTGTTTCTGCAAAGGTTTTGGAGCATCTACACATCCAGTTGAAATCTCTTTCTGTCAA